AAAGAAACTAAGGACAGACTATCTGAACTGGAGGGCAGACTTGTAATATGGGAGAATGAAATGAAAAACTTCTTAAAAATAACAAAGAAACAAACAGCAATAATACAAAGACAAGAAGATGATAAGAGGATCCATAACTTAAGGATTAAGAACATAAAAAAAGAAGTAGGGACACAAACAAGTGAACTACAAAAGCTACTCACAGAAATAATCCAGGAGAATTTTCCTAATTTAGCAAAAGGTAAAGATACTCAGATATATGAGGCATACAGGACCCCAGCTACCTACAACCCAAACAGAGCAACACCCAGGCATATAATAATAAAAATTCCAGAAATTCAATACAAGAACAGAATATTAAAAGCTGTAAGAGACAAGAAACAGACCACTTACAAGGGAACACCCATCAGAATTACAGCAGATTTCTCTGCACAAACCATCAAATCACGAAGAGCGTGGGGGGAAATAATTCAAGCTTTGAAAGATAATAATCTCCAGCCAAGATTGAGATATCCTGCACAACTGTCCCTGGAAATTGATGGAAAAACAAGGTGCTTCCAGGATAAAGAGGAACTGGGGGAATTTGCAACCACCAATTCAACTCTACAGAGAGTATTGCAGGATATTCTAAAAAAAGAAAAATACAAAGAATCCAGAAATAATGGCAGAGAGGCCACAACGAATGGAGCAGAGAACAAAATGAAGAAGACAAACTGACAGCTACTGACAGAAAAAGAGCTCAACAGAAATGAGGCAGAGAAGATTGGATGATAGGAACAGCTATTTTGGAGAAAATGACATCTTAATAGGTAATACTGATTTCGTATCATCTTGTTTTGAAGTCTCATCTAGCTTTTGTCCTTGTGTCTCCAATGGTCTAAATAGGTTGTATCTTACTGGATTTTATTATGTACGGTAGTATAAGCAAAAACCTTGTAAAGACAAGGAGATTATACAGAAACCATTATTCATTTCCTGTTAGTCGATTCTAAATACTCTGTAATGCTGTCATTCTCTTGAATGGTTTTACATTGCTTTGATATACTTAATGCTACAGTATACGAAGTTGTACTCAAGGATTTCAAAGAAAGACAATATGGTAACTACTTTTAGGTTAGGATTATCTGGTGGTGAAACACTATTCTGCTTAAATGGTTACGTTTTGATCTGTGCTGTTTCGTTGTTATGCCCTCTTTTATCTCAATCTCCACTCCATTATTTACTTTTTTATCTTTATCCTTTTAATTAAAGGAAAAAAATAGCAGGATATATTATAGTAACCCACTTTGACTTTTTATTACCTTGATTTAAAGCCCTGTATTACTCTCACCATCTGTTTTTTAACTGATGTTCCCCTATTCTGTTTTGCTGGATAGTATCAGGTTCGAAAGTTTAGGCATCAGCTGTGAAGATAATGAGATTCATTATGACGCCCATTCTTGTTGACTTTTAACTACTTTTGAAGACCTACAATGTCTCCAATGTTTTGGTTTTGTCGGTTTTATTCTTTACTGTTTTGTTCAATTGTATTATAACTAGCGATATAGGCAATTCTATTAGAGATAGCGGGAGGCATTATAGTAACCATTGTTGATCACCTTGTATTATGTTTTTACATTATCTATTATGTCCACCCTTTTGACTTGACCGATTCTGTTCTGTTATGTCACATTTGGTTTTACTCTCTTCCAAAAAAGTAATAAGAACCGTGGGAGCAATGACCCAAAATGTGTAATAGTCATGGTACAAAAGAGAGGAAAAGAAAGTGCTCCAAACTATATAACTGCATGTATATTTAAGTGTATAAGATAGAAAATGATATCACAGAGTTTTATTGGATCAATGAACAGAACTGTTTGCAGTATCATTGATGGAATGTCCACTTTACAAGCTTTAATTTTGTGACTTGAACAATTATTTCTAAGATGACAATATGTAATCCATTAACTAGTGATTTCCTACTGTTCATTTTTTTTCTGTAAATCTGTATAACTTGTACCCTTTCCCTGCTTTTTTTTTCTTTTCTCCTTAAATAAAATTTAAAAAAAAATTAGTACATCTTTGGTTGTATAAAGAATACTTAAACCTTGTCAAGTAGAATTATGATCATGTTGCCATTATTTAGAGGTTAAGTATGGTTTAAGGGACTGTGTTGAGTTTGGATGACAAGTGTGGACTGGAACACAGGTACACAAGTGTGGTCAGTCTTGCTTGTCACTTGATCCAATTGAGAGACACACAGGGAGCTATTAAAACACACTGCTGTGTGTGTTTATGAATGTGTTTGCAGAAACCGTTGGCACATGGGTCCAGCAAACTGAGTGGGAGATCAACCCTGAATGTGATCAGTGCCGTCCAATAGGCTGAGGCCCACATGAAGCCAAAGTAGGAGAAGCAGGAAGTTCTTGCAGGCTCTACTCCTCTGGCCCAGATGTGTTCTTCGGTCACCATCATCTATGGACATCAGGCAATGACTTCTTCAGTCTTTGAATTTGGACTCACAGCAGGAACTTTTCAGGAAGCTTCTAGGCTGCATAATTCATCACTCTTACTCAGTTATATTCCTAAGAAAACTCTGAGTAATATAGATTTTGAGTCTAAGAAGTCAGTTCTCAAGAGGAACCATGTATTAGGCAGGACACATGCATAGACACACAAATGTGTATCAGTAGATTTATTACAGGAATTGGTTCTTGGGAATATGTGGATTCAAAAGTCCCATGATCTGTCCCCACTAGGGAAAAGCAAGAAACCCAGTAATATAATTCAGTCCAAGCCCCAAGGTTGCAGAATCACAAGAACTGATGTCCAGGGGAAAGCAAAGAGAGATGTCACAACTCAAACAGTGAATTCACACTTCCTCTTTTTGTTCAGTTGGAGCCCTTAACTTTCTGGGTGAAGCCCACCCACACTGGTAAAGGCAAACTTCTTTCTCCTTCCACTGATTCAAGTGCTGCTCTCTTTCGGAGATATAATGCATTATAAGATATCTGAGCATCTCTTGGCTTAGATAAGCTGATATATAAAATAAGCCATCATGAGACCTTTAAGCAGAGCCTTGAAAGATGAAGAGAAATTAACCAAAAAGTGAGGGGCTTCTATGGGAGAGAGAATCATTGTGGGTGAAAGAAGCCAGTATGTATTAAGTGGGCAGCAGTCACTTCCACTGTGGATGGAGAGTGTGCTGGGAGACCTGGTGGGAAATCAGATTGGGGGTGGCAAGGGCTAGATACCGTATGGCTAGTATGTTAGCGACACGGACCAAAGCGCATCTCAGTGACAGACTGAGAATCCAAAGACCAAGGAATTTGTGGAGACTGGAGCCATACAGTCCAGAGGTAATGACAAGGGCTCCTTCTGAGGGATGTCAGTGAGAAGTGAGCACACTTGGTAGGAATAATTATTTCTGAAGTACTAGAAGTTCTTTTTTTGTGAACATCTTTATTGCTCTGTCATGGCTGCCTTGGGGCTCTGAATTAATTCAAAACATGATCACCGGGGGCTTTGGGGAAGAGTTAGAAGTTGCACGGTGCCAGACCTGGTCAGTAGGGAAAATGAGGACGTATTATGATGTTTTTACAAGCCTGTCTTTCCTTTGGATGGTGTTAGCCAGCAAATTCTCACTGTATTTGTTTTCACATCTCAGAAAGACAGAAAGAGGACTTCTAGATCTGCTTCAGAAAGAGGCAAGGATGATGGGCAACATGTGTTTGAAGCAAGATAGAACATTTTCTGAGATAAATTTTATAATTTTAGACAAGCACCATATGTTTTGATACCCACTGATACACATGTATGAAGACAAAAATAAGTTTATTTCTCTTGGCTCGAATTTGCTGAGAAGGAAACTAAACTTTGATTTGGAAGCTATTCTAAAAATACCAGAGTTCTTGCTCTTTGGATATAGTCTTTGACTTTACATAAAAGTTCTTTCCTAAACCTTTCATGCTAGAATAGAGAATTGTTTGACTTGGATACATTTAATTTGCTCAAGTTATTCTCCTTTCTATACCTTGAAAAAGTTTACTTTCTGCCATTTGGAATTCATAGCTCAAGTGTGTATCCATTTCAGTTCTATATGAAAACTTACTTAATTAGTAGAATCTGTCTCTCTTTTCCATTTTCTCTTTAATTTTTTCTTGAGTGATATTTCTGAGGTAAGATGAAGTATAAAGTTCAAGTGTAACTAGTTCTTACCTATGATGACACTATTTCCAGACACAAGTGTTTAGCAGGATAACAACTTCCCTGCCACCTCCAAACACCACACCTGTTTTATAAGAAATTTCAGATACTCTTTGATACCAATGAGATTCTCCAGTGATTTTCCAGCTCAGTGCATAGGAAGTCTGTGCATTATCATTATCATTTAAAAGATTTATATATAGTTAGTGCAAAAAGATTCTTTTGGATCTGATCCTGGTGAATAAATTGAGTCTATAGTATAAATGAACATGCCATGCTCAACTTAACTCACTTAGTACTGAGACTGGTAGGTGGAAGTTTTTCCTTAGTCTTAATGGATTTTTCAGATTATTTATATTTTCTCAGACTCCTCAGTTTCAGTGCAAGAATCTATATGTATATCAGGTAGGAAGGCACTAATCAAAAAACAAAAGGAAATATCTAGAATGTGTAGAAATTGGAACTATTGTGTATTGTTGATGGGATTGTAAAATAGTACAGCCCCTTTGAAAGAAGGTTTGATTGTTCCTCAAAGAAACAGAACATCGTGATGCTGTTACTCAATCATTCCACTTCTGGGATATGCCCTACAAAACAAGTCTACCCTAAATACATAGCAGCATTATTTGCAGCAGGCAAAAGGCAAAATCAATCCAAAGTCCATCAGGTGATGGCTGCAGAAAAATAACTTTATACATTCAAACAGTGGAATGCCATTCAACAACAAAAGTGCTGACTCATGCAAAAGTACTGATTCATTCTACAACATGGGTGAACCTTGAAAACCATATGCTTAGGGAAAAAAGCCAGACACAGGAAGTCACATAAAGTTTCATTTGTGTGAAATACCCAGAACAGGTAAATCCATAGCCACATACAATAGGTTAGTAGTAGTTGCAAGGGGAAAAGGACAGTAACTGGGTACAGGGTTTCTTCTATAGGGATAGAAATCTCCTGGAGTTACACAGTCATGGTAGTTGCCTGGTCTCATACATTTAAAAGGTTGTATTTTATGGTATGTGAATTTTATCCAAATGCAGTAAAATTTTTAAGAGTCTATACACAGAGATAAATAGAAACAAACACATTTATAGACAAACTTTATACTGTGTGTCAACAAATCCATCATAAGCTTAAATAAATACATACTTAAAACTGTTAAAGAGTTTACATCATAATTTAAAATACTATATAATACTCAAACACAGGCCATATTTCTATTTCATGTAGTTATTTCTCATGCAGTACGTATAAATGGTTACACCTGAGAAATCTCTCAAATAATTCATTCAGTATGTAGTCTGATCACACTGATTTCCCCAACACCCTGAGTCTTCTGTCCTTTAAAAACCATCTGTGTACTGATTTTTATCACATCTCCCTGTTTCCTGGTGGCTTGATCATTGCCATTATTCAGCCAGCACTTTTGGAAACTTTTCTTTTCCAATGTGCTAAGTTAACGGAAGCTGAGGACAGCTTCGGCACTGGTAACAGGAATTTGAATTTGAAACTCTGCTTACAGGTAAATATAAATACTCACCTAGGCTTTCCCCTCTGTCAGAACACCTTTTCCCTTCTGTTGTACAGAATGCGACGGCTAGGGAATCACTTAGACATCTTCCCTGTTTGATAATGTTCTATCAAATGGATGCCTTAAATAGCAAGTTCTTGTCATGGATTTAAAGTCTTACATAATACACAAGAACTACACAGTGGTTAGCACCGTATTTAAAAGGTAACAGTGGTAAAGCACTCAGGACTTCACACTGGTGAACATTTGTTCCTTATTAAAGCAAATTTACTGCAGAGGTAACATTAAGCTTTTTTGATAAACTAAGAGATGGCAATCTAGGATAAGTAACCAAGTCCATAGTACTAATTGTAAGTTAAAAAAGAACACAATGGCTAAGAACAGCTTTAAAAAGCATCAAATCCCACAGGGATAAAATAATAAATTGTGCTTAGTAACCCTTACACAAAGCGTTATGTAGGTTTGCACTGTGCACTAATAATCTCTCTTCTGTACATTGGGCATTAAAGTTTGGGGGTTCTTAAAAACTAGAAATAAAATATATTTGGCCAATTTGTCCTCTCTGAACTCTAGATGATTTCTGTTCATCCCTGTAACAGTAACTATCCAATTAACATTTGAAACATGATGGACAAAAGAAAAAATATTCTTCATCCAACAGGATTTCAGTGATGAAAGAAAATGAAAAACCAATTCTGAGATTCCAGAGCCTTGAGCTTTTTCATTTTTTGCTTTGAGGAGAATCTTCTTCACCTGCAGTAGCCAGGATTTTGTGATCCCAAGGACAACAGAGCGAAAATTGAATCTGTCTGGCAGAGGATTGGTTTCGCCATTGAGTCTGATCCATTGAAGCCACGGTCCCAGCTCCGGAAATGGCAGGCGTGACAGCCAGGAAAGGCCAAGAACCTGAACATTTCTCAGTCTCTGTTGTTATCACTATCTAGTTCTCAAGACACACCTACATTCTTGCAAGTATGAGCAAGCGTGCATGTTATCAGAAACTTCTGCAGACCGGTGGTGGCAACAAAACTGTACTTCCGGCTGTAGAGTACTGTGCATACTCTCACAGGGAGAGTTTAAACGTCAACACCAAGTGATATTTAGTTAAGGCAGAGAAACACTGTGAAGGTAAAATACATGTCGTTACACACCTGTTAAAATCCTCTAGAACATACAATGCAAGTAAGAACCTGACATTATCTGAGAATTTCACTTAATGTATCTGTATCAGACCATCAATCATAACAAATGAACAGTGATAATGCAAGAGCTTAGTAGGAGGGCAAACTGGAGGCTTTTCCTGGAAGGAGTGAGGGGATATGTTGGCACTCTGTACTTTCTGTTCCATTTTCCTGTAAGTCTAACATTGCACCAAAGTAGTCTAACGTTGCACCAAAATGCTTTTTAGGAAGCATTTTATCCATTTCCCTTAGTTTAAAGATGTATTCCATGGGACTAGACCATCCCAAATCCTCACAAAGCAGAGCACATATTTGAGGACACAGATTCTGGAACCCTATGGTCTGGGTTTGAATCCTTGCTGCACCACTGAGTTGCTTTGGACTTAAGGTGACTCACGTAACTTCCCTGTACTCATGTCCTTACCTGAGTGGTAGAAGATAGAGTAGAAGCCCCCATCTAATAGAGATCCTAGCTTAAAACACTGCCTAGAACACACTGTGTGCTGTGAGAGCCAGCTACTTCCACCCTTAGTATCTTTCAGAAGGAAACGATTCAAGAACACCAGATCTCTGTGTCTTTCCTCTCTTTCTACAAAGAAATGAAGCAACTTTCCAGGAAACTGTATGAAGACAGTGAGTCCTCTTACAAAATGGCAAGGTTTTTGGGAGGGCAGAAACAGACTTGTAGAGAAGGTGATCTGTCTTTAGCGTGTCTTTTTAAATGTTACTTGTTACGGGCCAGGAATATAGATCAGCGACATAATGCCTGCCTGGCAAGCACGAGGTCCTGAGTTTGACTGCAGGCAGCAAAAATAAATAAATAAATAAATAAGTAAATGTATGTTACCTGCTTCTTTTGAATTTAAATGATGTCAGCAGGGATCTGGCGGTTTACATAAAATTGATAGGAATTCCTGTTGGAAGAGTGAGAACACTAAATAAAACACTGTTTTCTAACACAAAAAGAGAAAGCTGTGTAGAATGTCCAAAGCATGCTTTGTATAAGTGAAACTTACTTATGAGGAACAAATTCATGTCCTGCAAGAGAAAGAAAATTTAGATTAATAACTTTAAAGGACATTGCAAATGCAGACACATTCTGCAAGGGCCCAACTGGACCATGAATATATATGCCTTAACAGATATTCCCACAATTTAAAACTGTATTCTAAGTAATCTTTTTAGGAAGCATTTTATCCATTTCCTTGGAAGCACTAATTATGGTTCTTTCTGCATAGCTCCAAGGGAACCATAGAATGCAGTGCAGGTTGTACCTCCTAGAGTTTCTCCTGGAGTTGTACAGTGTTAGTCCAGCTAACACTGTTGTTTCTTAAACCTCCTCCCACTTCAAGTTGTACTCTGAACTCCTTTTCCTAAGACTTTTCCTTAATTACATGGTAGGTTATTAGTTTATTCAATAACTAGATTTTAATTATTATTTAAATTTGCAAGAAAGACCATAACTTATAAATGAGAAAAACTACGTATTTTTGAAATGATTTTTGCAGTATCCCGTGAATCACCTTTCTTCCGAAAGAGTTTCAAAAGCCAGAAGAGAAATGATCCCAATACGAGGAAAGAGGTTCCTGCAACGGGAAGTCCAACTGCCAAGGGACTGCTGGACACCACGGGAGCTAAGGAAACATGAGAGGGACAGCCATCATGCACAGTAATGGATTTTCTGTTCTATTTGACCTTTTTTTCATAAATATATTCTATTTGGAGCAAAAGAGCCATCTATAGACATGCATAAGCCCCATAATGTGCTATCTGTGCCACATCACCTTGAGGCTAGCACTCCACCTCCCCACACCAGAGAGAACTCTAATTTGCCAACCTCTCACACAGTGGCACATTGCACACCTCAGATAATGGTGAAAATCTCTCTCTGTCTCTCTCTCTCTGTCTCTCTCTCTTTTCAGTTTCTTCCTCCTCCTTTCACTTCCAGATCTCCTTTTTCCAATTGTCAGAATTCTATCCATTCTATCAATATGCCACATTTTTTGTTTCCTTCCAAGTCACCCCTCAAATTAAATTTTGACCAGTTCGCTAATGTCAGTAACCTTTCTGATTTGCATATAGTGGGTGGTTAATCACTGAGCAAGATAGATTCCCATCTGTCTCCAGTTCCCTAGACAACCACCATCAATCAATGCATCACCTTCACAGGTAGGCAATGCCGCAGACCATTGTCCCGTGGTGCCACACGTCAGAGCTACAGAGCCATTGAGTGTCCAACCTTCAGGGCATGTAAAGTTGCACACAGTGCCAAACACGGGCTGCCCACTGCAGTTCATATTGATCGTTTGTAAAACTTTCAGCCTTGAACAGTGTACTGCTGTAAATAGTAACACATAGGCAGAGGTCAGCAAATGTCAGCTGAAAGACTTCTCCATTTGGCTTTCAAGTCACCAACAAATGTAAAACTCATAAGCACTATTTAGTATTCAGCTTATAGTAAATTAGGATCAAGCAAACTGAACAACTCAGGTTCAGTAATTTATGAGATATTTAACCCATGACCTAACTCAATAGTATCTTGACAGGAAAAGACTGCCTGTGTATACTGTCTCTGAGAAGTATACTAAAGTTCAGTCGATCAAAGCCTTCTTTGTAGTGGAAGGCACAGGAGAACTTGTAGGTGAATTTTCCAGTAGATAAATGAGTACGTTTCTTTCTTTCTTTCCTTTTTTTTTTTTTTTTTTTGTATTGAGAATTGAACTCATGACCTTGCGCTTTCCAGGCAGGTGCTTACACCACTGAGCTAAATCCCCGGCCACAAATGAGTACATTCCAATATGCTATTCGGAGGCCGAAGAACAGCATCACAGGTCACAGCTGGGAGACACAAGAACGTACTTCAGAGGCTTGTCTGCATCAGGTTACCACTGGTCTCAAGGTAACTAAGTTCCTGAGCTCCTCAATGGTTCTTATCTTAAATAAAATAAAAACAGTGACTGTACCTTCACATGTGGGCTTCTCCTGGTCCCACACTCCTGTGGGGTCACACTGGAGCCTTCTAGGTCCTTTCAGCACAAATCCCTGCTTACAGGAGAACTCACAGCTGGATCCACTTTGGAAACCTTCCAAAGCACTGGGAAAACAATTCATGTCGCCTTGCTCTGGGGTGGATAAGGCTCTGCACTGCAAAGCTAAAACAGCAAGATGATGGTCAGCAAATAGCTCGGAGGAACTGCACACTGTTTTGCCTTTGATGGCACAGAAATTTCCTGTGAGACACAGAAATGTTCAAAGAACTCAAGATGATTTGCCAATATTCCCTGGACTGCTGGGACTGTCTTCTTTGAATTCCTGTCCTCTTGTGGACAAGGGCACCTGTGAAAGGATGTGTTAACAGGAATAACAGTTCCTCTGCACTGCTTTTCTGAAGGGCAAAGTAAGTGAGGATCAAGGGAAAGATTTCAGGTTGGAGAACAATGTAACAATCCTTGGTGCTTATACATGTTACAGAAACCAAAGGGGGAGAAAACAGCCTCGCAAAATATGGGCCTTGTGGCGTGGTTTTTGTATTGAAATATTCTGCCACTGGAAATTAGCCTATGTTTTATTTGGCTATAAAAATGTCAACACCTAATATGGAAACTTACTGGTTTTTAATATCTGTACTCTTGCTTGGAGTGAATTAAATTTTAGTGCTTATGTAAGTATAAAAAAGTCTGTACCTAAAGTAGTAAAAGCAATTCTGGGCAAAAAAGTCAAAGCAGGTGACATCACAATTACTAACTTGAGCTACTATGTTAAAATCAGCATGGTACTGGCAAAAAAAAAAATGAATCTAAGGACCAATGGAACATACCAGAAGATGCAGACACAACTCCAAACATGCTCAGTCACCTTATCTTTGAAAAAGCGGCTAAACATGTTCATTGGAAGAAAGATAACCTCTTTAATAAATGGTACTAGAAAAACTAGCTTTCCACAGGCTGAAAACTAAATCCAGACCCATCTCTATCACCATGCACTAAAGTCAAAATGGATCAAAAATCTAAATATTAAACAGACACAGTAAATCTACTTGAGAAACTAAGTAGAAATCTTGAATGCATAGGTATAGGCAGAGACTGCATCAACAGAAGTTAGACTGCATGCAAAATACTTCAAAGAATTAACAACTGGGACCTCATCTTAATAAAAAGATTTTTTACATCAAAGAAAATCACTAACAGAGTGAAAAGTCAACACACAGAGTGGGAAAAATTTTAGCCAGTTTGTCCTCAAATACAAAGGACTTCTATAAAGAATACATCTATCTATAGATATAGATATAGATATAGATATAGATATAGATATAGATATAGATATAGATATAGAATTGAAAAAAATCAGACTTCCCAAACTCAAAGACCCAATCCCAGGATATCTGAGATGAATATGCACATCTCAGAGGAAGAAATACAAATGGTAAATAAATGTATGAAAAACATTCAACATCATTAGTTAGTCGAGTGATGCAAATTTAAACAACACTGAGATTTCATCTCACCATAGAAAGAATGACTGTCATCAAGAAATCAACCAATAACAAATGCTGGAGGGACTAAGGGGGAAAAGGAGCCCTTCTGCACTGTTGGTGGTAGTGTGGACTTGTGCAACCACTGTGGAAATTATGGAGATTCCTCAAAAGACTAGGATTAGAGGTCCCATTCCACCCAACTATTCCCTTCTGGGTATCTTTTTGTAAAAATTAAAAACATCATATGACAGCAATATTTGTGTGCCCATGTTTATTGCAGTTGTAATCACTACATCTTGGAAACAGTCCAGATGATCTTCAATGGAGGAATGGATAAAAAACATGTGATTTTATTAATACAATGCAGTACTATTCAGTCATAAAGAAGGATAAACTGAAGACTTTTATAAGTAAATGGATGCAACTTGAGACCATACTCATAAGTGAAGTAAATCAGACTCACATGTGTAAATACCATATTATATTGTCTCCCTGATATGAGAAGCAAAAGTGTAAAACAGGTCCAAAATATACAATAGGTGCTGTGCAATGGGAAGAAATTTTTCAAAAGGAATTAGGATGGGGGAATGCAGAAAGGAAGGAAGGGAAAAGGTAAAAACAAAATAAAAGATAGTTACACGACTAGCTTCTCTTAGTTCATTGAAAAGAATGGTTTCTGTTAATATCTTTTGGAGAACATTTTATGCCTGTCTTGTATTCTGATTAACTACTTTAAAGATAACAATACTTAATGTATTAACTATTGTTATGCTCCTATTATTTTGTTACGAAATTTAGTTTTACTTTTTTTTCCATGAAAATAAAAGAATGCCTCTGTAGCAAAAGCCATGCTGGAGGCTTTCCATCACTGTTAGTTAGGAGCAGTTTCAGAAGAAAAGCGTCATAATACATATACAAGACATATTCTCTTTATTCTATGCTTTTAATTTTCTGATACGACTTCTTTTACATTAGAATTTCTGCCTACTCCAGGCCAATGTCTGTAACATTACATTAACAGAGCACTGTTAAGAGACCAACAAAGGATTTGCTCGTACGTATGGTCTTTTTCCCTGGCCAAGGATTGGTTCTTTATATGAATCTCAAAGATAAGTGCTGGCCATCAGATTTCCTATGTGTACTGAAACCTCTGTTCTCATTTGCACTGCCCACAGTTGAAAGCTGCTAGTTTCCTCAAATGGAACACAGAGAGAGCCTGAGCCTCACCTTCACACACTGGAGTTTGCTGTGTCCACTGCCCTTGCGCAGTGCATTCGATCTGAATTGGCCCCTGCAGCGTGAAGCCCTCCTCACAGTTGAAGTTGCAGGATGACCTGAAGGCAAACTCTTCAGCAGAAGAGTGAGTACAGTTCACAGAGCCATTCTGAAGCCGGTGGATGGCATCACATGTCACAGCTGTAACAGAGGTGTTCGCATATGTGAGCAAGTCTGGCCTGCCCATTTCAAGTGCATTTTCAGAAAGAGAAGGTTTGCAGTGTCTGGAGGTGGAGCAACCTTACCTTTACAGGTTGGCTTCTCATTGTCCCAAATCCCAGAGGAGGTACATTGCAGTTTTTCAGCTCCCATTAGTTCAAATCCTTCCTCACACTCAAACGCACAGGTTGTGTTCCACAGAAATCTTCCAGGGTTTGGGAAACAATGCATGCTCCCATTGGCAGGGTTAGTCAGAGCATCACACTCAGCCAATGTGGAGATGACACCTTGAAATTTACAAAAGAATATGTTTTTACTTCCTGTTGCAGCTAATTGCACTTATAAAATAGAGAGAAAGCTGCCTTCAAAGGGTAGTTCAGAATACCTATGTCCATTCTGGGGGTGTATGTAAGGGACTTATTCAGAAATGAATGATTAAATGTGGAACAAAATCATATAGGCTTTATGAGGAATGAATGGTTAAAATGTGGAGCAAAAGCACACCAATAATTAAACTGCGGGACAAAAACAGGATCTGTGAGAATCCAATAAGTTAAACAAGAAGTTTAGTTAGAAGTTTAGTGAAACGTGTGTCTGACCATTGTTTTTGTCCTTTCCCCAAGAAAAACTGCCCAACCTTGAGAGAATTCCTTGGTCAAGTGTTTTTCTCCTGATTTTTTTTTCTCTTATGGTGATATTCTAAATAAAAAGCCAGAGAATTTCAGCTTCGAGGCTCTTCTCTAAAGAGACTTCACAGGCTGGGGGCTCTTGGTTGAAACTAAGCCTCTCTGGGCCTCTCTTAGACTGAACTAAGTCTCAGCCACAAGTAATATTTTTCATCCTCTATGCTGCCTGCCACAGGTATAAATACCCATAACAAAAGTTTTGTACATTTTTATATTGATATTTTCATCTTTTTGGATTAATTTTTATTTTGACTCTGCTGACTGATATCTGATAAAATATCATTTACATAATTCAAAATCTACATAATACAGATTCTAGAATAGGATTTATGATTCATTGGGGTGAAAAAAATATTGCTATACCCAGGACATTATTATACCCAGTGTGATCTAAAGGATTTATTTATAAATAAATAAATAGTTCTTGAGACTCCTTGATTATGATGGTCTTAAGTTAGCTCACTGCACAGGACAGTTAGTTGGAAAAGATGAGAAGTCATGAGGGCATCTTGGGTGTGGTTCCATGCCTGTGTGGTGTCTGCTTCACCACTGCCAGACCTGCAGAATACCCATTTAAAAGCGTCCCTCAAACCAAGCAGGTTTGCCCACACACACATTGCTGAGAGAACAACTTTTACTGAAAATAACAATAACAGAAAAGAACTTTCCCTGGGGTTTGGACAATGTCTTCTGTGGGACAGAAAGTGCAGAATGAGGGGTGAGTTGGAGAATGTCCTGCGGACACTGAAAGAGACTCACCCTCACAGAGTGGCATGGGCCCACTCCACTCCCCGGAGGACAGGCACCGTGGGGTCTGGTTGCTGCTTGGCAGGTAGCCACTTTCACAGCTCACAGAGCAGGAGGAGTTGTAGCTGAACGGCCCGAAAGGTTGGGTGCAAACCAGGCTTCCATGTTCCGGGTTTTCCTGTGCTTTACATGTTACAACTGAAAAAAAATGTAAATTGGATCTGCTGTGTCACCTTGTAACTGCTGCTTGCTGAGTGTTGCCTGTGTGACAGATGCTATGTACCCATAAATCTATGATGTTGGTACTGTTACTATATTCACTTTACTCTGGGTCCCATAACTATAGTCATGGACCACTTAATGACCATTTCATCAATGATGGCCTGTGGGTGTGATCATGGTCCCACAAAACACCATGGCAAGGTACAGAATAACAAGGGGTAAGTCTGAGATTTGACTCCAGAGGGTCTGACTTTGTAATCTCATTCTCAATCACCACCTTACCTCGTATGAGCTAGAGTAAGGATGAAATATGAACCTGACACCCAGCCCAACTGGCACAAGGGAGGGTGCTGCCCTCGCAGGGAAAGGAAGATGTAAGAACCAGACTCACCTTGCTCACACCTCAGTCCACGGAAGCCAGGGTGGCACTTGCAGCTGTGGTTCTCGATGGTCTCTTCACATTCACCGTGGCCACTGCAGGATTCATTGGTACAGGCAGCTGCAGAGATCACATTCCCTAATGAGCATGATTGTCACTGTGTGTATCACATGCTCCTTTGAATATAACAGCAGCAGTGTACAGAGACATCATCAAATACACAGGGTGCTTAAGATTTTACTGAAGGGGTTTCAGGCTTATCTAGTTTATATCTGCATGCTAATGACTGGAAATTAGGGGTATAGCTAGCACCAAGCATGGAAAATTCACTTTATCATTAACCCTGAAAACTGTTCCTTTATCAAAAACAGACAAGTAACCGAAATATATACTGCATGGGTGTCTTACTATTCTGCCTAGGTATAGAACTCTATATAGGTATAGGTACATACATTTTTGTCTATGTTCAAAGATGTAAAGAGATACTTTAGTAGTTAAACAGGACGTCTTAAAATCATCTTTTGAAATATAAGATTACCGCAGTAGAGACCAACTTTTACACACTGAATTTGTCAAGGTGACCACCAGCAAAGCTCCTTCCCAGTGGTCCCCACACCTCCTACCTGTGTAGCACAAAGCAAGCTTCTTTTTGCTGCATGGCTCATCATTCCACATGCCCGCATCCTTGTCTCTGCGGATGTAGATTTCCACACAGTCCTCGTCCTGTTGCTTATTGTTGGGCTCACCCGGAGCCCAGTTTTCGGTTTCGTCAGTTAGCGGTTTCTGGGTTCCTTCCCAGATCCACACATTATTGATTTTTCTAATTCCAATCCAGTAATAGCTTTTTGAGTAGCTCAGCCTAGAGTTCAGGTATTCAATCTCTTCTTTGTTTTGAATTGCCACTAAATGTGTATACCTTTGCTGACAGAAGGCCCTGGCCTCCTCATAAGTCATAGGTTCTGTAGAGACATTGTAAGACCAGGATCTGCTGTCTCTAATGAGAAGCACTGAGGAGACAGAGAAGAAACGGTAGAGTTTAGTTCTGCTATAGTTTAACTCTATTAACTGTGCTTAGTTAGGATCGTCTTAGTTTTGCCATGTGTGGCCTTTGGAATGATCTAAATGTTTTACCCTTTGAAAAATTAATCATAGGATTATATGAGAAATGCTACCATTTATTGTGTACTACTTTTGTCACTGGTCATCCACTAGGCACTTTATCACACTCACTCGTCACAGCCTAACTGTATATTGACTTTACAGAAGAATAATAATGAGATAATGAGGTTAATGAAGCTGTACTGAGCCATGAGTACGTGTCACCAAAGTACTGTGTGAAGCACTTTACATGGACCATGATACTGAATTCTTACAATGTCTAAATAATAAAATATTATGATCAATACTTTTAAGTGAGTAAACTGGAGTACTGGGAGGTAAAGAACATACTGCCCTGGGATATGAAGGATGCTGCTAGTTACCCTGCAATGCACAGGACATCCCCACAGGAACATTCTAATCCTCAACGGCAATAGTGCAAAAGGAAGAAACCACGCTCTGTCTAGTAACCGTGACTTACCAAATATGAGAGCGGAGACAAACTGTGGAGCAATCATGACTTCAAGAATTCTTCTCACTGAAGAGTTAGATTTGAAATATTTTTCTGGGAAGAGAAAGCATAAAACTAATTACAGCGGGAAATACCAGGTAGCTTATTACACCATTCTACTGTGATTTTGACCCAGCATCATAAGATTTGAGCAAAAGGATTCCAGTGGCACAACCTGTATTTCAAAGACTTTTACCAGAATGAATAAAACATTGAGCATTTTCATCAGTTAGGTCAAACAGAAAAGTCTGGTTTTTCACTCTAATAAAAGCTTGCACACATAATAGAAAGTTTTTGCATATCAGTGTATAGTGGTAAATATGCTACTCTTGTCAAGCATTCTGCACTTACTGTTCTGCAAAGTAGAATTTGAGAGTTGGATTTCTCACGTGTCCAGCTCTGGCTGCTGTCCCGTGCTGCTCCAGCAGTTCTGTAGTAAAGCCAGTCAAGAGCCACTGAGCATTGCTTCGGCAGTGTCCTTTATAGAGAGGGCTGCTTCCTGTGGGTAATCGGAGGATGTAGTTCAAATTCAATGAAAAGGAAATGCTCGGCTGTATCCAAAAAGTTTTCCATGAATTTCCACAGTGCTTAAAATTACAGTGATAAGAGAAACCACTCTTCAGTTAACTTCCCCTCATCCAGGTTTTTATGCTTCATGTGCAATTTCATTAATATTAGTGCAAGGTTTTTCATCCCAATAACATAAATCCCATTCTAAAAATGTTTTAAGACATTGCTCATGTAATTGTGGTAGTAGTTGGTGTTTCACAAACATGAACGGACTAACAACGTTTTGTCATCCATGATTTACGAGCCTCAATTTTCTCATCCACAGCTGTCAATAATAGATCAACGCTTGCTTCTCCTTTCTCTTTCTCCTACCAACTGAACCCCTTTTCAAATGCATTGCCTCATAAGGTGAATGAGCCGTAAGATAGATGGTGATCCTCAGATTCCATGCACTACAATTACTAAAAATAACATCTTCCACTCAAATGCTTGAAATGCTTTGTCTCTTCAGAATTGTTTCACGAGAAATAAGGCAAACAGATTTAGATATTCATGTCTAGATAATCCTGGTTTGCTCAGTGAACAAAGATTAAAAACTACATATACTCATATCTGAGTGCAACAAAATTTATTTAAAATTTTAATGATCTGAATATGCCAAGAATAAAAATGTTAACAATGGCTGCCACTGCATGGCAGAATCTGGAGTAATTTTTACATCCTTCATTATTTTTCAACATTTTCCAAGTTTTATTATGCCCTTTTACTTTTACAGTGTAGAGATTACAATTTTTAAGAACCTTGTGCCCAAATGCAGCTGAAAGGACTCATTTCTGTCCCTTTATCTGGCTTGGTGATCTGTCTCATTATGCAGTCCTCCTCTGTGCTCTCTGACCATGGCAGGTCCCATCAAGAAGGGTATTTCCAAGTCCAGGGAGGACAGCTTGGAGAAGATGCAGTGACCACTGACCCAAACCCCTAAAAATAGGGATAAAATGGGCAAGGCAAAAACAAACCAGGCAGGCAGGTTCTTCCTGGGAGGGAATTAGTAATCCTGAGAAACCTTCCCGGAAGCTCCTGACTCAAAGCAAGTTCTCTCCAAGGTGAAAGGGCAAAATGATTGTTCTAAACTTATACTGAGAAAGTCTCAGGAAGAGAACTGGGAGAAAAGATAAGAGAAGGGAGGGAAAGGGATTGTGAGTGAGAAAGGCCATTATGATTAAGATGCATAAATAGATAGCTGATAGGTAGTTTGATAAATAGATACATAGATGATAGACAGAGACATGGATAGTTTTAAGCAGAGGTACGTTGACCGGAGCCGCGGGAGACAGGAGACCAAACTCGAGCAGGATCAGCTCTCAAACTTTATTGCGTACAGCGAACCGGACCTAACAAGGTCCGCCACCCTCAGTGTTGGTTCCTCTTCTGCCCGTTGGGGGCAGGAACAACCTCTTATAAGGGGAAGCAGTATCCAATCACAGAGAAGCGCGTCTAACAAGCTGATAGGCTAGCGTCACAGGTAACTGGGCAGATATGACAATTTGGCGGGCTTGTTCAGGCCGGGAAGAACCCGGAAGCAGGAAATGGGCGCCATCATAGGCGGCTTCCCACAGTACGTTATGCCACGTGCACTCACCCTAACACTTTCTCTGCCTCCTCCCAGAATGTTTTCTTTGTCCCTGCTCCTGAGCTGGACTGTGGGCAGGTAGAAGTATCTTAGGGAATGATGGACTTTCCTGGGCTCTACATGACAAATGAAGAGGCCACAGACTGACCCTCTCAGGCCCAGCACAGCAGAGGCAGGAGTGGGATTTCAGCTGACCCCTGGGGCATCTTCATCTGCTTGGTGTCATCAGATCTGATGACCGACATTCACTCACTTGTTGGAGGTTGGAGGTTGGGATGGTGTGGACAGTGAGTGGAAAAAGAAACTGGGTGAGATTTCAATAGTTGGAGGTGTTGAATAGTATCTCCTCCCCTGAATATTTCAAAACATTCCCCCAAATCAGGCTCCTAAGAGATAAGCTTGAAACTTCCACTGTATCTCCCATGCTTTGGAGCGTTAGAAAACAGTTCTGCTGGAGACATAAGCAACAGAACTGCTCAGAAATTTTCCACCTGGCTTCCCATGGAGCCTCCTGACAATGGCTACCTGGTAGAGTGTGATTCAATTGAGAAAAGGAAAAAAGACAAGTAATTAGGTGTACTCCAGGCTGAACCACCCGGACTATGCCCTCTTTGAAGTGGCCGCTTTCCCACTTGGTCATCCTTCTCCCTAGAAGTCCTTGGTCCTACTCTCCATAACCTTTAGTTGGACAGGGAGGACTTTAACTGCTTTTGCCTTGAAATGTGGGCCCATTCATTCTCATATTTATGGCGAAGATGCATCCCTGAGGGACTCTGAGTGCCAGGAAGAATATGTTGGGATCTGCAACACAAACATTAGAATTTTAACACAGGCTGCCCTCTAGGCTGGATATTGTTGGGCCTGGTAGAAAGTGGCACATGACCACAAGTGGCAAGAGCCTCTGTGGAAGTGTCTGCTTGTATTTGGGTCCTCACTGCTGAATGTAACTGGAAAAGCAGACAATGTCTGCCTCCTGTCTCCTAAGACACACTCCAGGCTCTGCATTCTGCCCTAGGAAAGTTTATTATTACCTCTTTGTGCTTATTTTTTTTTTAAACCTTCTTGATACCTTACCCACCAAAAAAATTTTTTTACTCTACTAACATCTATATTATCTTAGCAGAGACTTGAGTAGAGGGAGGAAGATAAAACTTCATTTGCAAGATGCAATCATCGTATCTCTCGTGCATCCAAAATTATGAAAGAAAATTAGTGTCCAGTGCACAGACTTTCTTTGTTTGATCAAAACCTATGTATATTTGCTGTGACACTGGTCTGATTCAATCTAGGTTCCTATCCCCAAAAGGCAAGTTCACTCATTTGGGATTTGCAGTAAAAATAGGGATTTGAGAACTTCTGGATGGGGTGGAACCCTTTTACTCTCTACTGAGACTAACAGGTTTTATTGTGCTTTTGCTTCCTGTTTGGCAGTACCTTCTCTCAGTGCTTCCTCTTTCTGTTTTTGGGTCTTAAGAACTAATGAGAATATCTTTATGATGATCCAGTTCTGGTAAATTCTCAAAGGGCTGGGTGGGCAGTGTAGTTAACAGAACTTTTCCTGTACGTAGCCAGACAGGTGTTGACAACTGTTCAGCAGGGAGAGAATACTTCTGAACTGTAGAAAATCCTCCAGCTTGTTTTCTTTGGATACTCCCACAGTTTGTTTTGTAAATTCGAATTTTTCTAAAGGGTTATTATTAGCTTTGTTCTCAGTGTCTCATGTCAGAAAAATTCTAGCCCGGTCACTTTTGAAAACAGAACTCTAAAAAATAAGAACAGAACTTTGACTTTATTGTGTTAGAAAGAAAATGTAGTATTTCCCAAAAATAACTGGTGAAAGAAAGGAGTTACTTGTTTTTAGTTTCTCAAAATTAAAAATAGCTAATTTTGGAGAACAGGAGAATAATCTGAATTTCCTAAAATTCCTTATAGTTCAATAATCAAAATGGTTATTTACTAAGCATTATATATTTGGAAATGGTTGTATTATCCAGATAACAGTGAATATTTTAATGCAGCAATTAAACACAAAAAGTATTTCATTTTAACATTTCATTCAGGCATAGTTTTACATGCCTATAATCCCAACAGTCTGGAAAGCTGAGGCAGGAAGAATATAAATTCCAGCCCATGTATGCTAATCACAGATTTCAGAATCGTAATTACTCTAGTATAAAATAAAGCATGCACACTCTTCTTTATAATTTAATTTTATTCAATGAAAATAAAGAAATATATTTGGGGAAAGCTGCCAGGCCCTCTGTCTCCTGATAACTAAACTGGATGTGGATACTGAGAGACTTGGTGTGGTGCTGATGGGCCGACCTGCCTTCCGAAGACATTCTAGGTGGTTCTAACCTTCGTAGCTATCTGCACATTGCTAGCACAAAAGAAGGAAAACAACTTCTTTTAGGACAAGATCATCAAAGTGGAAAAGTGAGCATCAGGCCTGGTCTGCAAACCTCACCTGTGTCAGCCACACTGGCATCACCCACATGGTCTTGTCCCCAGGCAGTGGCCACCTATCTGCCATTCAGGAGTTAGAGTGGTCACCACCTGCACGCTTCACCTTGTTTGCCAGTGCTACTGGTTGAAAAGTAGTGTGGGACAGAGCATCCAAGGTGATGAAATGATAACTCTGACAATGAATAACAGGCACATTTCAAAAGGGGCACCATGGAAGAAGAATTTGAGCTGAGGTTCAAGCTAGAGTCTTCCCATGCTGTGGGTGTGTGTTCACTTGGCTTTTGATGTTGAGGGGGTCTGTTGCACTGCTGAACTAGGCTTAGTTAAAAATCCCTAGGTTATTACTTAGCAAATGTTACAGGAATACAGAGGGTAATTTCACCAAGCTAGCAAGGCCTCGCCTCTGCTTCAGAGAGAAAGGAGGAGAGGAAAACATGAGCAATACTTTTTTTGAGAAGCTCAGCTTTATTGCTTCATGTCATAAAGATGCCTCCAGTCAGTCTGGCTAGAGGTAATCAGCACAGAAAGTCTTTATCTGTGATTCTAACAAGTGGAATGTTTCCCTTAATTAGGAGAGCCTTGTTGGTCTCTGGGAAATGAAATGTTTTATAGGATACATGTGAGCCATATCCGAGAATCTCTGCCACTAAACCATTAGTGAGAAATAACGCAGCTTTGGGGATTAGGGATGAGTCACTTACCCACCCTGAAACACCCCGAAGATTGAATTTGTGTTTTTTTTGTCTAACAGACTGCTGTCTCTTGGCTGAATTGCTGGGGCGTATCGTCAAATAATGAAAACTTTTTCACTGTTGTGCACTTGGAAAATCGATAAAT